AAGTAACAAAATAAATGAGTCTGGGATTCTTTTCAGCTCCCCCAGGGTAAATTATTACTCCTTTTTTTGGAGAAAGAAAGTGAAGCGTTTGGCCTTCCTCAAGTACAGCCCCTTGGTTTTTGACAGCCATAGTCTTATTTACCATCTGTCCTGAATCAGACCGTTTGGTGTCTTTTTCCTCTGTAAGGCCTTCTCAGAAAACATTTAGAGATTAAAAAAAATACTGCCAAATAAGAAAAAAAAGCCATCTAATTTTAACAGGACTTAATTTTCTCCTTCCACACCTTTATAAATTGTTTTTTTTACTATTCTCACACTGTCCAAACAGAAGCTATCCTGGCCTCCAGGGATGAGTCAGAGAGCTAGAATTCATGGGGAGACTAGCCTTGAGTCAACACAGTGAGCACCTATCCTACTGTGACTCTTTGTCCTCAGAGGCTCTTGAGCTAATCACATAAAAAGAGCTCAGTAAAACAGCACCTAACCTTCATCAATACTTGATCTGACTGTTCACATGGGACAGGTCAGCCACAATTGAGCCGACAATGAGGTCAGCCAATTTCTAACAAAGGCGAGGAGTCAGATTTATGAATATTTGGAGCAGGTCAGCATATACTTATTTTTCTGACTCCCTCTGACAGCTCTCACACAGGGAGGGGCCAGGCCTTCTGGGTTGTGGGATGGAGCTAGAGTTGGCATTCCCACCCAGGGCTTCCCCCCAGACACGGAGCATGGAGTCCAGAGAGCTTATGGTTATTCAAGTACAGCGGGGGAAGGACTCCTGGAGTGTCCGGTTCCTGGCACTGACATATGTGCCATTATGTTGACATACCATGCAGCCCTCATAGAGCAGGTGCATGAAGCAATCTTTTCATTTCATCCTACCAACCTTAGCAAGTTAAATTATAACTATGGAGGCAGCAGGAAACCATATGTGCCTATTATAACCATGCGGGCTTCCAAGAGCATCATGTTCTTTCCCAGCCTTAATGGCAGACAGGGAATTTCTTTAGAGTAAGTCAAATCTATTGTCTACGCTGATCCCTGACACCAGGGCATCAGGTTCTCCTCCCCATAAAGACGGCATCTGGGGTGAACTGAAAACACATGCTCCAACTCTAGAGCCCAGGAACTCACTTATAAATAAAAGGGTGCTAGTTATTATAAACACAAAGTTTCTGCACCCAAGTTCTTATTTTTACTAACGAGGAAAAGAAGTCACTACTTTAAAGACTCAATGAACAAGGTAAGTCTTCAAAAAGAAGATGCCATGAGCAATCTTCAGTTTACATTAGACCCACTTATCTTATTTCAACCCTCCTTGATGATACTGATCATCAACTTAGTAAATGCTTTCACTCAACACAGCCTCGAGCTCAACAGGAGGATCTAGGGAGAGCCCAGGTTCACCTACTAATAAGACACATTTTAGTAATGTGGCACCTTGGACTAGAATCCCAGCTCTGCCTCTCAATTGCTATGTAATATTGAGGAAGTTCCTAAGTCCCTTGGAGCTTTTGTTTTCCTTTCAAAAAAATGAGATGATCCATGTGAAGTACACGGAAACACACCTGGCACATAGGAAGAGTTAAAATCTAACTTTGGTATACCTGATCTCATCACTGTAACAATTATACCCTTCAAGTATATCCTTGAGCAGACTCAAGCACGCCTGTCTTTAAAAATAAACAAATCTATATTCTCAAGCCAAACACAAATGTCTAGAATTATGAATAAGCTCTGCTTTAAGATATCCATTTAAGTACCGTCCCAATTCTTGTCAAAGCCATCTGTGATGATTCCATCCGCTGCTCCTCCAAGGAAAGCCCTGCAAATGACTGAACCCACATCTCATTGTCTATCACGCATATCTCCTGACCACACATCTCTTACGCATTCTGCCTTCAGCACTTAAACTGTTCACTGTCCTTCCTGTCTATCCAAATCTATCTTTGAAAAGCCCTTTCCATCAACTCAACCTCTTCTTCCTCTCTGCCCTAACTCTAATGCACAGCCATACACACAAACTGCACATTTTGACTGTGTTCCTGTCTCTCCAGACGTTTTGACTGAATTGTTCTCTGATTGCTGCGTCCATGTTTCATCTCCCCTACCGTACTGTAAGCTGCTAGCTGATAGGGGCAACTTCTTTTATTCTTCAAGTCTCCCACTGATCAATGTACACTGACTTAAACAGTGCACAGATGTGTTAATAAATACTTAGTGATGTTTGTCTACACCCTAACCCTATTCCTAAGGAGGCTTAAAAGAGGTGGAGCTGACTCAACTTTAACCAGAAATGCTTTCAGAGAAATTGCCAGATGCTCACATAAGTGCATTCTGAATACGAGTCTGCTTAAATTAAGAAACAAGAAGGGGTGCCTGGGTGGTGCAGTCGGTTAAGCAAGCACCTCACTCTTGATTTCGGCTCAGGTCATGATCTCAGGGTGATGAGATGGAGTGCTGCACTGGGCTCCTCGCTCATCGAGGAGTCTTGCTTGTTCCTCTCCTTCCTCTTCTGCTCCTCCCCCCACCTCTAAAAATAAATAAATAAAATATTAAAAAAAAAAAAAGCAAAGAAAGAAACAAGGGAGGCTCCAGTTTCTCTTTGGGATCTAAGTGCCACATTCTTTTTTTTAAAGATTTATTTATTTATTTTGAGAGAGTGAGAATGAGACAGAGAGAGTACATGAGAGGGGGGAGGGTCAGAGGGAGAAGCAGGCTCCTCACTGAGCAGGGAGCCTGATGCGGGACTCGATCCCAGGACTCCAGGATCATGACCTGAGCCGAAGGCAGTCACTTAACCAACTGAGCCACCCAGGCGCCCTAAGTGCCACATTCTCAATGCATTATAGCCAATAGTCTCCTTGAATATCATCTATCTCCAGTAAGAACCTTTTCTCTGTGTTTTTGTTTTTGTTTTTAAGATTTTATTTATTTGACACAGACACAGCGAGACAGGGAACACAAGCAGGGGCAGTGGGAGAGGGAGAAGCAGGCTCCCCTCTGAGCAGGGGGCCCGACGTGGGGCTCAATCCCAGGACCCTGGGATCATGACCTGAGCCAAAGGCAGATGCTTAACGACTGAGCCACCCAGGTGCCCCTTCTCTGTGGTTCTTGCAAATACTACTTCTAAATGATTCTACAGAGTTCATTAAAAACAAAAACAAAAAACAACTAGGTAACATACCATGAATTCATCAACCTCAAGAAACCCCAAAGCCTCCAGCCTCACCATAGCACAGTCCTTAAAAAAAAAAAAAGACAACATGGTAGGACCTCAACTAAGGCTGGTAGGTAATCCTTTCTGACTCTCTGCCAACCCCACCCCAGCTCTCACTCTCAAGGCCAGGGCAATCATCACAGAATTGGCGAGAAGACATCAGTCCCTAAAGGAGCTGCAAACAACTAAGAGGTTCACAACCTAGGAAGATGAGTGCAGTGCCCTGGCCAAGAACACCAGCCATCTCCTAAGACCACACCACAGTGACTACTGAGCCAGGTAGCTCACAGCTGGGAGAGGGGGCTTCCATTATACAAAGCACTGGAGCAACTGGTTTTGCCTCCTCCAACTCGCATTTCCCATTAAACTCAACTGCAAATTCCAGTTCTAACAGGACATGCTTACCCTAGGGCTTGGCTCACTTACCACCTAGAACAGTCATACTCTGGATGGTTAAATTTAAGGAGGAGAAATCTGGAGAAAAGGAGCTTAGAGGAAAAGTCTTTTATTGTAGTGTGAAATCTTAACTCAAATACAGGCAATTTACTGTCTTGCCGATTAACTTCTCTTATATCCTGTACAACATGACTCCACAGAATCCTTTATAACCACCATCCAAACAACCAAAAAAAAAATCAATCCTTTGTTACACCACTAGTGAATGAAGTCTCTACTACTAGACTGTGTGGAGAAATAGGATTCACATCATCAGGTTTCTTTTCTTAATTTGCCTCTTGATCTAGACCATATATAAAGCACTAGTCAGAAAAATACCATTCTTACAACAGACAAGCAATTTGTCCCTCAAATAAACATCAGTTTTATTTTTCAAAATTTGAGGGTAAATGCCAACATGACGCAACAGCAGACGTAACAGTTTTAGGATTGTACAGGGGGGATGCTGGGCCTAATACACAGCATTATTAATCAGAGGAGAATGCACAGGAATGCTCACAGGCCCATGCCACACGAAACACCTAGAACAGTGAGCTCTCAGCATCAGGGCTTTACTCAACCAATCCAAACCAACAACCAAGAACCATCATCACCTTAGCAGAGTGTGGAAGACACTGTTTAATCAGCTAGCAAGGAGAGAAGCAGGTCAAGAAATCAAACACCCAGAAGAATGTCTCAGAACAATCAGAATATTTAAAATCATGGGGAACTCAACAAACAATTCTCTCACTTACTGCCCCACACATAAAAAGTCAAAATATCACTTGGGCCACTCTGGGTTGTGGGCGAGGAGGCAGATGGGCCGTAAGAGACTGAAAATACATCTACAAGAATACATGCAAACAAGCTAAGTAAAGCAAAAGCCAAACAACAATATTTAGGATAAATAATAGAGTTTGTCTTTTTTCCTTGGAAAAAGAAAAGCCCCACCCAAAGCCAAAACAAAAACAACAAAGTAGGAAGAGATTCCAAAAGCATGTTGTTGTTCTAGGTTTAGTATACATTTACGCTGGAAGGAGAGCTGCTGATATTTTGACTTTCTTTTTTTTTTAAATGCTAAAGGTAAAAAACTTTGTTCTTTCAACACCCAAACCAGAGCAGAGAGAGAGTAGTAAATTATAAATGTGGATAAAGTAACATCCACAGGACATGAAGATTGGGGGGGGGAGGGGAGAAGGGGTAGGTTTTTGTATTGTTGCTGTTGGCAGGAGAGCTAAGCAGTCTTAAAGAACATTCTAGGCTTCTAGGTTTGCCATGAAAGGGTATCACAAGTCCCAAGGCCCACCACCTACCCCTTCTCCTCTTCTCCGAGGGCACCTACCTTACTGTAAGTCACTACTGATAAGTTGTTTGCGTGACTGCTGGGGGACAGATTTACAGAGTTCTCTGAGAGTCTATTCTCATCTTGCTCGGTTTGGTCAGGAGCAGGAGCCCATGTGTTTTTGCTGATCGAGTCGAACCCGGAACCCCCAGGGTCTTTTAAGTTGTTTTCATCTGATTGTCGGTTCTTTTGGGGAGAGGCAAACGGGTTGAAGTTTCCTTCTACCTTGCGATGTGGCTGTGTGTTGAACTCCGTTTCAAAAGATGACAGCTGCTGCGTTACTCCTAAAAGTCCACCCACCTCCACACTGAGAATCACCCAGATGACATCTGAAACAAAAAGGCAACTCATGTCAATGACAGGCATACCCTCAAGGTCCAAAGCAGCCACCACCAGAACCCCCAAATGTCACCCAAACCATAGGAAGAAATGTCCTTTTATATGCTAATTTTAGCAAGCTGACAAAGTAGCCCAGTACATTTACACTGTATGCATTTCTTCATTGTTGGTAATGTCACATTCAAACTCCAGTGCACATTCAGTACAGGTCTCTGGTAAGACTCATGAAAGTATTTGTTAAAAGGTTACTAGTTGATTCTGATGCACAGCCATATCTGGAAATCACTGCTCCAGAGAACAATGATCTATAGATAGAAACCTAAAAACTATTTTCCAGAATTATAAGCTTTTGTGGTTTATGCTTTAGCTTGAATGTATGTAACTTAGAAAGCTCAGGGCAGGCATAATTCTTGAGCCAAAAAGTACTTATAATTCCTAGAATTGCAACTTATCAAGGACCCCCTCCCCCCATCTCTTTGAGCAATTTAGAGTAACAACATATTGTCCAAACTGGGATAACTGAGAGTAAAGGGGGAAACAATTAATAATGACACCAGGACACATCTGTAAACCAGCACTAACCCTGACTATTAAGGCAAGTATCACCTGGATTTTCTTTTCTAATGATCTATGTGATCAAAGGATACCAAAAATTTAGTATGTCCCAGGCTTTGTAAAATAATCCAATTTAACACCAACTTTGCCTTTGTCATATAGGGAAACCCCACCATCTACACTGAAACCATAAGAGATTTGTTTTAAAAAGATACACCACAGGACTTTTGGTCATAATTCAGTTATTTCCTCAACTGCCGAAGCTAAGGGTTCAAACAGAAGAATAAAGGGACAGTTTCCTTTGATGTTCTGCACCTCAATTTAGAGAACAGTGACATCAACTTTCCTGCTGGAAATCTTTTAAAAAGCACCACTACAGAAAGGCCAAGAAGCTTTTAAGTGTAACCCAGCTGAAACAAATGTGAAAAGTTGTCCAAGTCTCCTAAATAACTGCTGAATGGTTGATAAGCAAAGGCTAATAAATTTCATCAGTTAGCTACACAGAAATACAGATAATATTAAGAATAGGAAAAAAAAAACCTACCAACACTAAAAATAATAGTGAAAGAAACTGAGGAAAACCCTCTTGGGCCATGCTTATTCTCAATTTCCAATCTGGGTTCGATATCTGATGAAGGCCATAAATATTCAATTTGTGTTCAGTGGTTTGGGAACTCCATTAACAACTTGGTTGCATGTGAACAGCTAGGAGCCAGAACCCTAATAAAATGGAGATGCAGTGACATCTGCTGTTCACTTCTGGAATTAGCAACTCTGCAGCCACTAGCTGCGCAAGCGTGACTCCTAGGAATGGTATCCATTCCAGACACAACTTTTCATGATGGCAAATGTGAATCCTCATGTGAACTAGTGCCACAGAAGCTCAACCTGTTAACACTGTAAGCCAGGATATGCAGCACGCCACTTCACTCGGAAATGTGGGACAGTGCCAGGAATACTGGGTCAGAGGACTTTCATTCAAAGCTCTAAGTCAATCTCATAAACCAACATGACGTAGGCCTTAAAGAACAATTGCAGGCAGCTGAGGGAGATTCATTCCATGCTTTCCCTAGCCTAGCTTTCTAACCAAAGGCAACATCTCTTAACTCTGTTGTTCATTTTCCCCCAACAGCTATGCCCTATCTTATAGGACATTAATTCTTACTTCTTCTCTTTCACCCAAAGTGCATACACACGTTACCCAAAGTCCTTTTGTAATTCCTGATACGTTTCATATACTCAGTTACAGGTCATATGCTTCCTTCACTTTGCTCAGGAAACTAAATGCTTACGAGAAGAGAAAGGACAGTCTTCGGAAGACTGTTATCAGTATGAGACTAAAGACATTTTTTGCCCTGGCTTTAAGAACTAAAGCTTCTTTCATACAACTCATTGGGCCTGATCATACATAAGCAACTGCACTCTCTCACCGTGGCTATGCTTCTGTACTGCTCACAGATTTTACATAGTAGCTCTAAAGAGAAGGTCATTTAAGAAACCACTGATTTATAAACACTAACAGTGAACACTCCAGTTCTGATCCTCCCAAGTTATTATCATGACGGGTCATTATGAATAGCAAAATATACCTTCTGCAGGGTACAGTCTAACCCATCTAGGTACCACTGCTAGCCCTGTTTCAGAATATGTTCATCCTATGCATAGTATGTGTGAATGAATGTGTTATTTAAGTAAAAAGGGTGATAAAAATGGACCAAATAAGCTTGTTTCAGAGAGGCTGACCATTTCCAATTCTTCCCAGAATGCCTTAATTACTGAGATAGGAACAGCCAGCCACATATTTTACTATTTGTGATGATAAAATCATAGCTGTAAGGAATCTCAGGGGTCATCTAATGGAATGGCTGCACTTTCTAGATAAAGGATCTGAGGTCTGGAGGTGGAAGTGATGGGCCCAAGATCAGACTTCAAGTTAAAGCCAACTTACATGATGACTAAGAATGCTCAACTCTCAGAATAGCTTTTACAGGGGGGTCTGGGTGGCTCGGTTGTTGAGCGTCTGCCTTTGGCTCAGGTCATGATCCCAGGACCCTGGGATCGAGCCCCGCATTGGGCTCCCTGCTCAGCGGGAAGCCTGCTTCTCCCTCTCCCACTCCCCCTGCTTGTGTTCCCTCTCTTGCTGTGTCCCTCTCTGTCAAGTAAATAAATAAAATCTTAAAAAAAAAAAAAAAGAATAGCTTTTACAACTCACACTTATTTTTCAACAGGAACTTGGGAACCAAGAACCTAGGGAACTACAGCTACAGTTAAGTCAGTCCCATTTCCCAGGCCATAGTATCTTTACCCACATATAAGATCTTCGGTACCAATAATAAGAATGGGCCAACAGGATGTCCTAAAAAGTAGCCAAAAGAGTAGAATCAAGTGCCAAACCTACACATTCAGGGCTTAGTAAGCAAATTGAGAAACTGATTTTAGAATGTCTTGCCTTAAGATGTTTTTTAAAAAGCACCTGAGCCAGGACTTTGGAACTAAATGGTACTGTAAACAGTTTCATTCAACTCGTCCCTTTTACATATAAAACCTTTAGTAAGTACGTAACTTTAATAATAAGTATAAACTTCCTTTTGTAGAAATGTATAATAAATTAAAGAGAGATCATGAACTTTTTATTTCTTAAGTTTAGATTATTAGAAATGCAGAGTAAAAGGAAAATATTTTGGGGCTCTTGGGTGGCTCAGTCAGTTGGGCATCCAACTTTTGATCACAGCTCAGGTCCTGATCTCGGGGTCATGAGTTCAAGCCCCACATTTAAAAAAAAAAAAGAAAGAAAGAAAAGAAAATATTTTACTTGAAGCCCAACTCCATAATCTTAATGAACCATGCTGATGTACAAAGACATCTCAGATTATGGTAGGAATGTTAAAAAACACTACATATATCCAAAGGCTAGAATCACAGATCAAATCACATGATAATAAACAAACATCCATGATTTGTCCACTACAACAGAATTGCTAAAAATCAGTACAATATTCAAACTGGTAAATTTGTTTCTCGAGGGGTACATGTATACTGGGGTTGAGTAAGTAAATGAACAGTGAAATGCTGAGAGCAAGGTTTCTCATTGTTAAAGAAGGATATTACAGATGAGCAAGAAAAGAAGGCATTCTAAAATGAACTCTGTGGTACTGGATTAAAGTCAGAGACATCAGTATCAACTCATGTTTATCATAATATATATATATATACATACAGATGAAGAAACACAGAAACAATGATAGATAACGCCTGTTTACAGAGGTTAATATGCATACACACGTTACCCAGCTCTGTCTGCTGAGAAGGCCTAGAAGTAATGATAGCCCAGTAGCACCGAACATATCCAGTGCCCAGTGGTTTCTGAATAGCATTCTCTTAAAAAAAAAAAAGTTCCTCAGAGAAATGGCTGATTCTGGGGCTAAGACATGGAAAATATAAGATGAGCCTGGAATATCAGAAAGTAAGAAAGTGTTAAAAAAAAAAAAAAAAAGGATAGAGTATGTCATAGGGATAGGAGATACCTGAAAGAGCTCCTTCTGGCCAAAGCTGGAATAATTTGGGCAGTAAAATAAATAACATAGTATTTAAAGTATAAAATAGATATACATGAGTCCATAGTGACATAAATAAATGACTAAATAAATGGGCGAGTAGAGACAAATTTCTTTACATAAGAACTGCAAATATATGTAGATACTCCCCCCCTTCTAAGAGATGGAGCTTAATTTTATATATCCCCAACCTATCCTGAGTGTTGGGACAGACTTAGTGATTTGCTTCCAAAGAACAGAACAGGGAAAGAGAATAATAGTAACTTTACGACAGAGAAACTGGCAACCAAAAATTTAATCAAGTGACCAATGTTAATATCATCAGTGATGTTATGTAAATATCAGGTACCCCCTGGTAAGTACTTCACCTCTGCAGTATTCTTCCCCAAATCTATAACATCAGTCTAAATTGAGGAAAACATCGGAAAAGCTCAAACTGGGGTACATTACAAAGGATACCTGCCAGTATTCCTCCAAATGGTCATGGGTCATGAGAAACAGAAAAGACTGAGAAACTGTCACAGATCAGAGGAGACTGAAAGACAAGACAACTACATGTAATGCGGTACCAGAGACTGGATTCCGGGAACAGAGAGAGGTCATGAATGGAACAACTGATAAAATCTAAATAAAGTCTGTGCTCACTTCAGCAGCACATACACTAAAATTGGAACAACACAGAGATTAGCAGGCCCCTGCGCAAGGATGACACGCAAATTCATGAAGTGTTCCGTATTTAAAAACCAAAAACAAAATCTAAATAAAGTTTTGAGTTCAGTTAACAGTAATGTGCCAATGTTGAGGTCTTCATTCTAACAAGTCTTCCATTCAAACTAGACACACGAGTTCACTCCTATGTGCAACCCCTTCTCAGTACCGCC